CTGCTGTTTGTTTTCGCAGTTGAGCCCAGGTGTCCTGCGTTCCTGCCTGTTGGGCCTCTCGTCCCCACTGGTACCTGACCCTGTCCGGGACGGTTCCGCTTCAGCAGTAGTCACGGGGTTTTCTGCCATGCGTGCCTGGTGTTTTTCGGGAGGCTTGTCTTTTCTATCCAAGCGTTTATCTGGGCGGGAGGAACAGTTCTGGCGATCAGCCTGCTCTTGTGCGCTTTTTATTTAGGTATTGACATTTTTTTTCCCCTGCAGAATAGCTGACTCTGCTTGGTTGAAGAAAAAAAAAGGGGGTGGCACCCAGTCGTTGGGAGATTGTTTTTTTTTTCTTCTCTCCACTGAAAGAATTTCATGCCAGTGATGAAAAGTTCAAGCCCGTGGGCAGACGGAGAAAGTCTGATGTCCAGCCCTGCTCCAGGACAAGGTCTGTGAAGTGTGAGTGGTACAGACATGACGCAGAAGGATGGGTTTTGCTAACGGTTGTCCAGTCACTCGTGTCTCAGTGTGACAGCTGTGCTGGGGGGGTGGGTATCCATTATCCATGAGACACGAATCCCTTTCCAGGAAACTAAAAACCGTTTCTTCTTATTCTGACACCATGTGCCACTGATAGATGTCTGAATGTCTGATAAAATTATTTCTACTCGCATGGAGAAGAGTAGGAAGGGCAGTGCGGGGAGCGGAGCTCTTCCACTCGCAGGGATGAGGTGGAGCAGCACAGGGCGTGTACGCCCTCTGTTGCGCCTGGACTGACCTGCCGCCAGGGGGCGCAGTGCGGCTGGTTTCGGTGGAAGCGCGCAAGCCGGGACGGGGGCAGATCCGGCTCAGAGCTCGTTCTCCCGGCTGCAGACTGTCCTTCACCCCCAGGCCCGGCCCCTGAGGCGCACTTCTGAAGGTGAAATGCAGTTTCTGCATGCCCCCACCCCCCCTTCAAGTGTTTCCGGGTGGAAATAAATGTGCGCTTTGAAACAAAATCAGGCGCACGATTTTTAATAGAAAGTCCTACACGTACACCTGTTATGTATCTATCCCTTGCCTTATAGCTAACGTGCTGGACCGCTCGGTGGGCATACTGTGCATTTAGTGTGTAGTTACTGTTGCTCTGCTACTATGATATGTGATTAACAACACTTACTATATCGTAGTTGTGTATTACTGCAATTTTCCTCACGGGATCAGTAAAGTATCTATCTAGTAGCAGTATTATAATTTGAAGGACCAAGTATAAGTGTATTCCATGCCGAAAAGAAAAGAGACACATCGTTTCAGCTGTGGAGCCTTCTTCAGATGCGTAAATATTTTTATCATTACTTATCATTTAATCTGTCATTTTATAATTTAATCTATGAACTGGTTTCATCACTCTGCTCTCCTCCCCACTGAGAGCTGGTGTGTGGGGAGCGTTCTGGCGCACCGTCGCATCATCCAGGTGGGGCTGCACA